ACCAGATGCAGGGTGGACTCTTTCTGGATGTTGTAGTCTGAGAGTGTACGGCCATCCTCTAGTTGTTTGCCCGCAAATATCAGACGCTGCTGGTCAGGAGGGATGCCCTCCTTGTCTTGGATTTTGGCTTTGACATTCTCGATGGTGTCACTGGGCTCGACCATGGAAAAGCAGTCAGTTACAGAAGAACATCGACACACACCCCATAACTCAAACCCACAGTCATCAAGTGGAGTCCCGCTCACCACAACTCTCTATCAAGTTCTCTAGGCCATAGATCATTCGAGAAGACTTGCCGTCTTTTGCTCTTGGAGTGGCTGGTAGATGAAAATGTCCAACCTTTTCGTTCTCAGCCTAGAGCTTTAAACACTGTGCCACCAGAAGTCTTTCATGCATTCTACATCCTCCTTTTCCTCCTGACTCTCCTTTGTCCTCTGCCACTCCGAGTAAATGGAGCCCAACTGTCCTGTGTTAGCTACTTGCATGTTTTTAAGTCCTCAGCCCTACACGAGGAATCTTAATATGTCATTTAACCGGACTGTCTCATTAAACCATGACCCTAAATTTTCACACCAAGGAGCCAAAGTCCGTGAGGTGTTCAGGTATATATAAACAGCATAAGCAGGTACCTTTTATCATTGCTATAACTAGATCACACATCTTTTTCCAAATTAACTTTTTCACAAGCGTAAAACTTACTGATGACAATCCTATTAATCAGTTGTGTAACCCTACCTCTCTTTAATCAACATGATTTTCCATCACCACTAACTCCCTTTTTCTTCTTCTCTTTCATCCATGATAACTACTACTAAACAATGGTCTCTATAAATTTGACTTTTCTTGTCTTTTACCTAAGTTAAATCATACAATATTTGTTTCTTTGCAATTAACTTCTTTCACTAGGCAAAATGTTGTCAAGCTCTTTCTCTATCTAATAGAAATCAAGATTTAATTTCCTGCACTGAGTAATATTCCTTTGCATGTACCTCCTTTTGTTTATCCAGTCCTATGCTGGTATGCATTTAGATTGCTTTCACACTTTGGTTACTGTGGATAGTGCCGCAATATACAATGGCATCAAAGTCTCTGAGTTTTCTGCTTTCAAATTGTTGTAGTAAATACCTCGGAGTGAAATTCCGAAGTCCTCTGTAGTTCTATTTTCATTGTTCTGAGGAACCACTGTGTTGTTTTCCACAATGCCAGTAGCATTTTGCCTTCCTATGAGCAGTGAGTAAGAGCTTCAACTTCCCCACATTCTAGTCAACATTTGCCACTCTAATGGAAAGGAAACGGGATCATTTGTGGCTTTGATTTGTGTCGCTGATGGCTGAAGGGTCTACGTCTTTTTCATATATCTAGTGACCAGATGAATTTCATCTTTGGTAAGAAACCTATTCATCTGTTCATTTTTAAGTTTTATTCGTCTTTCTTCGGTTATGTTGTCAAAGTTTCATAGATATTTTGTGATTATTTTTGAGAGGTAACATGGTTTCTGAAGATATTCCCACAGTGTTAGATTAAGCATGGTTTCCACCTCCCCAGCAAGGACAGAAAAATTCTCACAACAGGGCTAATATGCAACACAAGAAATCAGGAAAAGACAGAAGTTTTCAAAGATTTTATTTTAATTGTCTGTGTGTGTAGCCACCATCAAATCAGATCCAACCGGTACAGAAAGAGATCGCCCCTCCTGCTCCAGCAAAGCGTCTGGTGGCTATTTCCATTTTTTTTAATAAAATTTTTTTCTTTGTGATCTTAACAAAAGTTTATCGAAAAATTATATTTTCATTCATTCATTGTTGCACTTTTACCCTTTCTCCCTCCCTCCCCCCTTCTCCAATTCACATTTGGGTTTTGTTGTTGGGGGTTTTTTTTAACATTCATTCATTGTTGCACAATTACCTCCCCTCACTCTGTTTGCAATGTACCTCTTATTCTGGGCTATTTTTTTTATATATAATGCTTAATCATGTATACCTTTTTAAGAAGGTCTTTCCTTCATCTGTTCAAAATCTTTTCATGAATATTTTGTAGCCTTCAATATGGATTACATCTCAACATCAAGAAAACCAAACTTCTCACCACTAGATATCAAGGAACATCATGATATTTGGGAAAAAGATTGAAGCTGTAAATTATTTCCTTTTCCTTGGATCCACAATCAATATACCCACAGTAACAAGAGTCAAGAAATCAGAAGATGTATTCCTTTGGGAAAATCTCCCATCAAGGATCTCTCCAAAGTGCTAAAGAGCAAGGGTGTCTGTTTAAAGACTAAGGTGCACCTGATCCAAGCCATGGATCAATTGTTTCCTAAACATCAGAAAGCCAGACAATGAAAAAGAATGACAAAAGAAGAATTTATATCTTTGGATTGTGGTGTTGGAGAAGAGTACTGAAAATCCCATGGAATACCAAAAGAATAAATAAGTTTGTCTTGGAAAAGATACACCATCCCAGATACCTATAGAGGCAAGGTGGTGAGGCTTGAGCTCATACTTTGGTCATGTTGTCAAGAGAAGCCCATGCTTGGAAAAAACCATCATGCTTAGAAAAGTAGAGGGTCGGTACAGGAGAGGAAGGCCCTAAGTGAAGTGGACTGACACTGTCTGCACAATGGACCTAATCACAGCAGACTGTGAGGACAATCCAAGTCCAGAAGGGTTTCACTGTCGGGCTGCATCTGGGTCAGTGTCAAATTGACAGTGTCTGACAACATTCATTTTGTCTGTTGCCATTTGTGCTCTTTTATTATATTCAACAATCCATTGTTGAAAGCTAGGTCTAATAGTATTGCCTCTGTTGGTTCTAAGACTTTCATGGAGTTAGTTCATTCATTTAGGTCTTTAGCACAAGTTATTTTTGTATGTGGTGTTAGTCAGGGATCCTCTGTTATTTTCTACACGAAGAAATCCAATTTTTCCAGTATCATTTCTTGGCGTTACTCTTTTCCCCATCCAATATACTTGGCACCCTTTTTAAAAATCAGTTCACTACAAATTTAAGAGCTCTGGTGGCCTAGTGGGTAAGGAGTTGTGCTACTAACCCAAGGGAAGGCAGTTCAAATCCATCAGCTTCTCTGAATAAAAAAGATGAACAATCTCCTCCTCTGTGATTTTGTCTTTGCAAATCCACTGAAAGGTCATCTGAGAGCCGGTTCCAAGTCTAGGGCAATAAGTTTGAGTTTGTTGAGTTGATAGGTATCAAGGTTGATCTGGGGCCTTTAAATGAAGCACTTAAATTCAACCAGGCACAATTTCAGGGGTACTTGGGCTCCTTTGAGATTTTCTTTTCACTAGTGGAAGGGAAGCAGGGAAAGAGAAAAGTATCTTCAAGTAGCATGAGAGAATGACTACGGAGGATAGAAGGAGAATTGATGCCTTTGAGCTGTGGTGTTGGAGAAGAGTATTGAATGTCCCATGGACTGCTAAGAAAATGAACAGGTTCATCCTAGAGAGGGTTAAACCAGGCTGCTCCTTGGAGGCAAGGATTCTGAGGCTTCATCTGACATACTGTGGACATGTTGTAAGGAGGGACCGAGGGACATCATTCTTGGGAGGGTGGAGAGACAGTGTAGGAGAGGAAGACCCTCTAGGAGGTGGATTGATTCAGTGACTGGGGTAGTCGGGATGGGTGTATTGGAGACAGTGTGATTGGCACAGGACAGAGCAGGGTTTAGGTCTTTCATTCATAGGGTCATTATGAGTTGCAAGTGACTGGATGGCACATAACAACATGAGAGAAATACAGATAGGAGCTCTGGTAGCATAGCAGTTAAGAATTTAGCTGCCAACAGTAAGGTCAACCGTTCAAACCCACCAGTCGCTCCAAGGGAGAAGGATGTGGCAGTCCACTTCCACAAAGATCGTGACCTTGGAAACTGTATGTGAAGTTCTACTCTTTCCTACCAAGTAGTCATGTACTGGTATAAACTCTTCAGCAATGGGTAAGATAAGAAAACTTGAACCCAGGCTCCCAGACCAGGGTCTCATCCTGTAACTTCACTGTACCAGAACTCATCTTCTGCCAAATAGGAAAAGCTCATCTTCAAAAATGAGATCTCCCCCGCGTTCAAAAGAATCCTGACCTTAGCATACTTCTCGAGTTATTTGAGAAAGCCGGATGCTACTTCCCCCAAGTCTGATTTGTGATCTGTGATTTTTTATTTTTGCCTCAGCTGATAAAAGATAGTACATCCTTTCTTGGCACTTCGTACCCCGAACTTAGTCACCAGAAGCAGATGGCTACGAACATGTGATCAAACTTGTTTTTTTAATGATTCTTCCCTCCCCCGTGGCCAATATATCAATACATGAAAGCAACAGCAATCTGGCAGCTGAAAATAATAAGGGCTACAAACCCCTCCTATGTTTGAAGTGGAAACTTTGCTCTCACGTACTCCCACCACCTGTACACACTTAACGTCTCCACACAAGCTGGAAAAGCCGCCTGAATTTGATTCACGCTGCTCATTAACTGAGGGCATTAACTGCTTCTGATTCTGGTGTCAGAAACAACCAACCCTTTGCACAGTTTGATGTGCACAGATTCTAGGAGGGACTTTGCAATTCAATGTGCAGTCACCACTATGTTCTCGTTTCCTTTAAAGTAACTGCGGTCAAGGGAGCTCTGGTGGCCTGGTGAGAAGAAGCTGCACTGCAATCCCAGAAGCACACAGTTCGAATCCACCAGATGCTCTGAAGAAGGAGGGGCAATCTCCTCCTGTACCAGTCAGATCCAATTTGACCACACACACACACACACACACACACACACAAAAATAAAGTAACTCCAGTCAGCTACTCACAAGTCTCCAAGTTCTCCTTGCTGCTGGTACTTTCTCAGCTTAATTAAGTCCATTGTTGATATAAATAAGGTTTTGGTTTAGCTCAGCTCAGCAAAAGAGAAAGCGTGCTTCTTAAGGTTTAGTTGCCAAAAACAATTAGATGAGCTCAGGTTCACCAAGAGAGGACTTTGTGAAGAGTGTGCAGTGTCCCACAATGGTCTTGAGGACCTCCAGGTAGGACAATGGCCTTGGGGAGGGAAAGAGGACAGGAACTGTAACACTAAGAGAATTCTCTCAGCCAGAATGTCCCCCGCTTTCTCTCTCCCTAAACCAACTCAGTCTTCTTCTCGTGACCTGCAAAGCCAATCGAGATGG